CCTTTGTAATATTAATTTTATAAATTTAATGAAAGTTAAAATCTTCATCTTGAAAAATGAAGAAGAGATGAAAAAAAAATTATTTCATTACTTCACAACCAAAAAGAAAAGGAATTGAAAAGGAATTGAAAGGCGAAAAGAAATTTATTTCCGTTTATAACGTGAAGCAAGGTGGTGACGTTAGTGTAAGTTCTCTGAAATCAACAAAATATAAGAAATATTCGTCGCATGTTCACATTGCTTACACATTTATAACAATTCCACAGGGCAACACCTGGTGTAGTGAGTAGATCGTTGACCTGCTTCTAAACCCAAGGGATCAATCCACGGACGATCCATTTGGAATTTGTGGTGGATAAAGTGGATTCTCGACCTGCTATCTCGAGGTTCTCTCGTTTGCCACCAAAGGTTTATCATCATTCAAGTAATATAACCATAGGAGCGGGAAACTTTACATATGATAAAATAAAAAAAATGTCATCATTGTCCATCCATCAAAGCTATTCTTTACATAGAAATGTAAAACCGAAAAACCAGCGACTAAGAATTATAGAAATATATTGTGAAAAGTGAATCCTTGAACCTCTGAAACCAACACATTCAGACAGGACACGTCCACGCTTTCACTAAATCTGACAGTGGTTTGCACTCACTGAAAATATTGCATTATGTGTCGCCAATAATATTTCGTGTACTAAATACTGAGTTTTCTATTACATTAGAGATGTAGAATCTTGAATAATAATTGCTTTGTCATTTTTAAAATTACTAATACGTAATCGCAGATAGTGCAGTGTCAACAAAAACCTTAATTGACATTAAACTCAAAATGAAGGGAAAATGGTAAAGTATTTGTTCACTATTTTAAATTTACTATTTCCATTTATATCCATAGGAAAGGTGACCGATGTTCAACAAGCGGTCCGAGCGGAGAAAAATCTCTGCTATTCTTCTCGCATTAAGGAAACGTGTACAATCCATAACACCCCCGCATACGTTTTCCAGGGATGGAGGTGCCAGAGAAGAATCTGGGGGATTGCCGTAGTTCGTGTCGGGACTGTCCCACACGCCCTCTTCCCCCTCACATCTTCACCCTCCCCGTGCCCCGACGGCCGTGGCGCTCCTCCCCGCCCGTTTCCGCATCTCCGTGCCCTCGACGCCGCCCCGCAGCTCACCGCCTCATCCTGCCCAGTCCCGCTGCAAAGTGAACGCGTGCGCCCCGAAATTCTTTGAACCCGCGCGCCCGGGTCCCAGGCGACCGAAAATTTAAGCCCGCTCTGGAGATATTTTGCATGATAACTCCATTTGCATTTTTTGTTTGGGAAAAATTACGGAGCAGAATTGTAACATCTTGTGATGGCTGCGGGGTTTTGCACGCACGCATGGGCTGTCGGCACGGGAAGCCGGAATGCGCTGGCGGTAGAGGTAGCGGGCGGGAGGTGGCGGCGGGGCGTGGGGGGGGCGCGCGGCGGACGCGGGCGCTGGCGCGGCTGGCGTAAGAGGAGCGGTGGGTAGCGGGGGAGCATGCGGGGGCGACGTGGGGGCGGGGCGAGGGCAGGGCGGAGCTCGTTTCCTCGTCTAGCCCTCTGTGCGGTCGTCTGTGGTGCTTGCGCGCGCCCGTCAGACGTCGCGATGCGCTCCGTCTCTGCTGGCCACTCGTGCGTTGAATCTCAGAACGCGAGCTTAGCGTCCGCCCTGGATACGTTCTTTGGGGTCGAGAGAAGATACGACGTAGGTGCTCTGTCCTCTGCTGGACGTGAGTCTCTTACTCACATGCTACACGAGGATTTGCTGAAGCCTCTTTGCGTCACGTAGAAAGGCAAAAGAATTCCATGCAGCCAGGAAATCTTCTTTTAACGCAGTACACATTTAAAATGTCAGAGTAGCGCTCCATACAATGTGCTTGATCTACATGGCACTGACATTTCTCTACAAAAATTGAAGATGTACCCGTTAAGTAATGAGAGACATAAAACAACTCTGATTACAGTTCTGAAACTTCAAATTATGAATTTCTCTTATGTTCGTCAGAAACATTTCGTACATATTTTTATTATTTCAATCGTCATTGTCGACAAATATTTTACATTATTACACTAATATTGTGTCAAAGAATAAACCGTCTCTAATTTGTTCCAAGTGTAGGCTCTATGTGTTTGATTCTCGCTGTATCTCTGCCTAAGCCATCCTTAGTTTCATTTCCTTTGTGCATGATATTGAAGATTTTTCTGTGATGTTCACTCACCATCAATTCTATGATGACTGATACATTACGTAACGATACGCTTTACGTTACATTTTGCTTATTAAAAAACAATATACACTTATCAATTATAAAACTTAGCTCTCAAAAGAGGAGCGATTCACATACTCCCACAGTTGATAATATGTGAAGAAAATGTGATATCACTTCTTCCCCCCAAAAACACAAAAACCTCCACAACTACAAAACTGTTTATTATGTATAATGATTTCACGAACAACATTGTTTTTACCCATTCGTGTCAAGATATTGATATTATTAAAACAGATGAAAGATAATCAGTGTAATAAAATAATAGTTTGGGGTGATCAGTTCATTTTGGTAACATCAAAATTACACCAGATATATTTTTTCGAAATTTCTGATTCACGAGATTTTATTAATATTTCATAATAGCTTTGATCTGCAGATTTTAATGTAGAAATTGGTTTTGTTTTCCGTGCTCGAGTACTCATAAAATTCGATATTTTTCATTCCACTCGTTAGTAGCTTAATTATTTTTGAACATATTATTTTCCTCAACTACAAGGAGACGCTGTGTGGCTGAAAAACATAGAAACGTAAGGCTTAGTTTCTTGAATTCCATAAACTAACGAGAACCAACGAATCATGTATGATACTATTATTTTTGCCTCTAAGGCAATAAAAATTGATAAAACGGCGTTTTTCGGGATCGTGTTGTCAAATAAACGTTCCGTTCACTTTGAAGATCAACCAATTTTAATTTTAAAATTTTTTGCTTCATCAGAAAATGACCATTGCAACCAAAAGGCGAAGTCAAATACAAAATATGGAGTGTTTTTAGAAGAGATACAGGTTGAACTGAATAACCTAATGTATGACAAACGTTTAATCTGAAGTTTTAGCTTCTATATTGCAAGAAAATGGTTTACTCAACCATAGCAGTAAAGATTCTTATTTTTGAAAAAGGAAGATTTTGTTTCATATTTTACAAATATTTTTTATTGTCACACTGTTTCGTGTGTTAATCAGAAAATAGGGATTGTACGGAATAGCCGAAATGATTGGCTGTTATATGGAGAGTGATATTTGATCTACAGGATTGCAAGGACTATGCATAAGTTTGTTGGTCTCTGTGTTTTTAGGAGCGGAACATAATGGCTTAGCTGTTATTAATGGTGGCAATGTAAAATTATATCCGTAATAGAAAGACATCATAATAGTCTTGTACACAATTTGTCCTGAGCTTGTCTCGTTTTGGAACGTAACAATGATGAACTCCATTTCCTATACATTAATCTTAATAGATACCCTGAAAACTTGGAAGAAGAAAAGAATTTAGCAATGTGAGTACTTTCATCAGAACCTGAAGATCATGGATGAGCGCAACCAATAGATAGACAAAGTACGTCACTAATTTACTACTGGAGCATTAAACAACATTTCCTTGAAAAAGGTGTACAAAATCAAAAGATCACTCATTTCCTTTTTAACAGAATGCTCTTGGTTGATTGAATGTAATTCCGGGCCCGTTTATGGCGAAGGTCATAGTTTCGTAAGCGTAGTGTTTTCCCCATAAATGGTGGCGATATTTCCCCGTTGGATGACGAGATACAGCGACGACCAACCATCGGCTAGCGTCTTTTCCTCACACAAGTATCACCCACCAGCGGGGCAGCACCCCCGCCGGGACAAGATTTAAGCTCCCATCTTGTCTCCCGGCATATGTGTTAGTGTAGTGGACGTGTGTGTGTAAGTAAGGAGTAAGTGTAGGATAAGGAAGAGTAAAGAAAGATCACACGTTTCCGTGGCCCAATTGGCAGAATATTGCTCCGGTAATTGCCTGGTGGTGATCGGAGTAACCACATAAAACTACCGATCAGAGAAGCCGGCTACTAGAATTCTCTTCCAGACAGCGACTGAATTGAACATATCTGACAAGTTTGTGTCGGTTTTTCTGACGCTGTAGGGACTCGAAACTACAACTTCCCGGTCAAAGACACTGCAGTGACGTCAGTTGATGCCTTGAGCAACCTCTCCCAGGAATGTTCATCTTTACCTCTTTAGAAAATGTGTTACATAACACTCACTTTTGTGTTTTTTGTGAGCAGAGGTTATTCGAAGGAAGAAAGAAATTCTACATTAGCTGTTTGTTGTTACATACATTATTAGGCACCCACATTCAGAACTGGGAATATAAAATCACTTTTATATATAGTTTCATTTGCTTATGATAATATGTATATCAATTTGCATTAGTAAAGAGATTTAGACTATGTTCCAATTTAATTTTAATTGCTCAGCTACATTAGATTTTCATAAATTATTTCTACACATACTCTTCTCGAGCAACAAAACAAACAATTTGGCGCAGGTTTATGAATATTTTGATTGCACTTGTTTTTAAGTTTCACGAATTCATTCAAAAATACGCAAATATTAATCATATTTTTAAAATATAGCACATAACATTACGTATAGACATTGGAACAATATATTTCAATTAAAAAAATCAGTAATGTGGTTTTAAAAATACAACGAAACATTTTTTTAATATGTACCAGTTTCTAAAATTCAAAGGTTTTAAGATTCAGACGCGAGCAATTTATTAATCTCACTGTGTTTTATTTTAGTAAAAGAGATTAAAATAAAATTTGGAACTATTGTTGTGAACATTTTTAATGTAGTAGAGAAATGGCAAATACTCCCAAATATTACGAATAAATTACAGTTACAGTACCAGTAGTAGAAACAGTTGTAGTGGTGGCGGCGGTCATCAGCAACAGCCAGCCGCGGCAGCAATAGCAGCACCAGTAGTAATAGTACCAATACCAGTAGCAGAAGCAACAGTTAACTGAGAAGCGTCATATGCTGCTTCAGCAGCCGCAGAAGCATCAGCAAGAAAAAAGACAGTAGCAGTAGCAATAGTAGTTGTACTACGAGTATTACACCCAAACGTAGCTCGCATCCCAATTTTAATATCTGTCTCTTATTGCAGTAATCTGCTGTTAATCCTCTTCAGACCATCGCTTTCTCCATTCCTTCCTTCCAAGTACATTTACGTGTTTCTGTTCTTCTGTGTGAAACAGATTGCCAGTTTTAGTGCTCTTGAGGCATTCTTCACCCGTTCTGTTTCATCATGCCATTTCAGATTTTTAATTTCAATAGTATCGACAATGTTGAGACACATTACTGAACCTCTAATTATTTTATGTTTTCCAACAATGTCATTCAACAGATATGACGTCAATATTCCGTTTACAATGCTAAGAGTTTATTCATATTATCTTTGAATATTTCCCTATCATCAGTCCCGTATGTGGAAATACTCTCTAAGATGGCCTTGCACAAGGTTCTCTAAACGATTTCCTACAGGATTTGTTCCATATCAAGCACATTATAGCTGCACTATATTTGATATTGTACTCAGAATTTCTTGTGCACTACAACTAATTTCTGTTCTTTGGGAACTTACATATGTAGTATTCTGGAAGGATTTCATTTCTGGTTAATCATTTACATACAGATATTCGACTATTACTCCAAAACCAAGTAACATATTTTATTAAAATTTATTTCCAGTCTCCAATTCACGTATTGTTAAGGTGTTTGAGAAGCATTAACGAAACACCATCTTCTTACTCTCTCAATTTGGTCATCTACGTAATTAAGAGAACATAGCATGGTATCGTCGAATTTTGTACGCAAATTTCTTATGTTCTCGTAGAAATGTGTTGTACCCCAATCTTAAATGTTAAGACGTGTACTTCTAGCATTCATGCAAAATGATCACATGCATTACACGAAAGTGAGTTTGTTCAAAACACGAAAAATCGGTTTTATTTCCGTGTTCAAGGACAAATCGTAAGTCACATGACTATTTATTCTTCCTTTAGTCTTAAAACTGAAATCTGTATGTGACTGTCTCGAGTACTGACATTGTAGTTTTGGGGGATATGAAGTTACGATATTTATGCTCCTCGGACGGTGTTTCTTTTCTACTTGAGTCCGTAAAATGAAAAGTGGTAATTCAGGATTCTGAGTTATTTGAAAATCAACCCGGTTTCACTGAATTCTGGTATCTTTCCAAACTTGAAAGCGTTCTAGATCCACACATTGAGTTCTGATGTACTACGTTACGAAATGGGACCGTCGGTATGTGAAATATATGCGTTCGCTGGAAGGCACAAGAAAACTGGATCTTGATTGTTTTGTAGCAGTCTTTGCTATTTTGATAGTATGTGCATTCCCATAATATTGTTAGGAAACACGTTCTTAGTAAACTTTTCTTTATGGTGGTAGCACACACTTCTCAAGAATCAAAGTAATACACTCCGCTTTGGCGGTACATCGAAAAAAAGTAAATTACACAATGTTGTTCACATTCAGAGTCAAACATGATGTGGTTACTGGACCATACATCTATTTATTTCCTCCGTATCTCCTTCTGTTCTTTACCACTTAATTAAATCTGAAAAATCAGACAATATAGTATCCCATTAAGACAGTTAATGCCTTCCCATAAGCTCTTACAGAAAGTGCTTTACGATGCTTTTCAGTTATTTATATGAAAGTTTTCTGGTTCCATTGGAAACTTTATACAGTCTTCTCATAAAGGAACTGTAAACCGTTATTTCAAAAACCTTCATTTTTTCTCGTTTTACTCCGTTAGGTCACCTACGGACGTGTTAATTCTTGAAACATTTGCATTATACCAGTGGCAGTTTTAGATGATCAGCGTTATTTCTTTTCCTATCGTTTTCCCAGGTGAGAATCCCTCAATTATTGTAATGTTAGATGATGCCGTTAACTGGAAACCAGGACAGATTTTAATTAGAAACACTACTTCAGTGAGATATTGTTTGTGTTTCTGAATGATACTTTCACACACAAAGTAAAAAAAATAACTATTGGAGGAAAAATAAAAGAAACGCTTGGGTTATGACGCACAACACCAAAAATGCTGATCTAAAGAGGAAAATTCTTAGAGAAAAGAAGACTACAAAAATATTCTTTGAAGGGGATTACTGAGGAATGATAACCCAAAGATAACATAAAAAGACAATTGTAAATCTATTAAACTTGTTATTTTCACCAGTATTGTATAATTTTTCATTATTCAATTACCAAGACGATCTAAATGTAAGTGTTCATTTATTTTGTCGGTTTTCTTGAGTGGTTATGTTTAAAAATTAAAAATGTTTTGTGTTTCCAGTTTTTTAAAATATGTATCAGGTTATATCCTGTTTCTTTTGGAATCATCTTTGCAAGTGGTTTGCACTCGGCTCCGTTCGACGCTTTTGCGAGAAGAGGTAGAGAGGGAGGAGGGTACTGTGGAGCTGACTCTGCGCTGCCTCGATGTTTACCCGAATCGACTATTTTTAATTATAATTCGGAAGGAAGAAGTCTCTAAATTGAGGTAACGAAAATTCTGAATTAGATTCAATACAGTAATTCTTTACCCTGAAGGCTATGCGCCCTTATTAAAACGCGTAACGGGTATTTCGTGCCGTGGAAACTCTCTAATTTCTCATAAAAGTCAGATATTTACCGAGTAAATACGCGCAGAAACGCTCATAGTACCCTTAGTTGCCGACTTACTCATCTTCGCGGACTTCCGCTCACCACCTGCTCTTTGCATTGCTGACACTTTCGCTTCCTGATTATTTTTTGCACGTCAAAGCGTAAATTTCACTGAATTTTGACGAAGATTCAAATGAGATAAACCGGTATAAGAGTGTACTTTATTATGTTCATAGTAGGTCAGGTGACGTTTTTGCTTAGTTCCACTAGAGTTTTCATTCTTACCTGGAAAGTTATGTACAAAACATATTTGTTTTTACGTGAAAGATATGAATATATGCTGTGGCAGTGGCGGCTCGTGGTCATGCCATTAGGGTGAGCAAGTTCTCCATTCTCTCTCCCTTCCTCCTCCCTATCTCTCTCAAACACACACAGACATACACACCCATATACGAAAGGATACATCACATGCATACATATATACTCATTAACATAAATAATTGAACACAGACCATCTTATGAACTCTGATAGCATGGTGAACGGCATCTTTCGTCAGCAGTAAAGGTTTGCCCGCATTTGTTTTTACAAACATCTGCTTCGACTTCGCTGGGCAAAGACTTCTACGAAATATTTACTACTAGAGTCGTATTACTACGTATTTGCTCAGCACATTTCAGGACAGTTTTTCCAGGGTGTTAGGAGTTCAATTGTACATTTTGATTCAAAACGTTTTTACTTGCACTTTAAACTGAATTGAATTGTTGCCTTATTTTACGTGCCGACACTCGGGCCATGAGGTCTGATCTTTCGTCTGACCGCGCAAATTTCTCTACACTGTAGAGTATTTTCGTGAGCTGAAAGTACAAATTACTGAATACTCAAAACAATCTAAATAATTTGCCATCTGCACTGTGAGGAAGTCTATTCAACTCTGTTTCTTTTCAGCAAATTTTTCATCACGCTTCACAGAAAATTAACACTCCAACTTCGGTTTTTCAAAACGCATTAAAAAAAGTAACAAACTATGTACGTTTACAAAATTTATTTGGGTTTTCATTAATAAGAAATGTATTTGTAATTGCAACTCATCTTAAAATATAAGAGAATGTGGTTATAATATTAAATTAATACAATTCTTATGAATGCATCACTGCAAAGTAATGGGTTCACGATTCGCGCGCTAGCGAAGAACTGTTTTATTGGAAGGGATGAGAGCTGTTTTCAGTGGAGAGGTATCTCACACTTCCTTCGTCCAATGTTACACGTACTTCTACAATCTTGTGCTAGCTGAGTGTTATATCTTCAATACCTGTCAAGACACTCGCTCAGATCGCCACTACGCAGAATCAGTGGCGATCGCACACTTAGACGAATGCTCCTTTCGTCCATAAAGCCAGTGTTGTTCCCTCTTTCCCCACTAGCCTTGCGGCAGCCTACGACGCGCTGTACTCGTTCGCAATTTCCAAGTGTGAGGCGGCACGAAGGGCACAGTCGGAGGACTCTTAATCGCTGCTATCGTCTTTTGAAATTCCATGTTTCGGAAACGCTCTGACAGGATTTGTATTCCCCTCTTGTTTAGAGATATTTAAGAGAAAATGCACCGAATTAATTTGAGTGTGCACATGCAAACGTGCGAATAGGCACGAGCCGCCACTGGTTGAATGAAATAATGGAAGACATCTCCAGACATTCGTCACAAATTGGTAGACTGATGAAGATGTCAAAGCGTCTTACAGATGAAGATGCCAAGTCGAAAGCCGGCTCTCTTAAAAAAATTAAGTTGTCAAAGATGATTTCCATTACTTACATTTAGAATAATGTCAACACCACTTCAGCATGCCTACAATACTTTGCAAGATAAGTTTTAATTGAGATACAGCAAAACTCGTCTTCCAATTTGTGAACGTATAATTGGAACGCGGCGTCAGTACGCGCGTCTATTTGCGCGCCTAATTGCGGGATATGTACACGCCTCCACGAATATAACTGTTTTCTCATATTTAGTGAACTGTTTGTACATGGATTTGAAATATTCGAAAAAAAAGACTGTTCCAAAGACGGTATTAATGAAATAGTTGTGCTCCATACAAAATGTATCCAAGTAGGTAAGAAAAAGTAAATTATCTGATGTTATAAAAAACTGTTCATTTACAAAATAAGTGAAAGTAGGCGAAAATAATTTAGAACGCATTGCCTGAAAAATGTTATTAACTAAAAGCAGAAATGCACGGTATACTAGTTTTTGTGAAGTATTTGAACAACATGAGAGTATAAAATGCTTAGATATTTGCGTGAATGCTAGGAATTAACAGTAGTTGAAATTCTTACGTGTGAATTAAGGGAAAGGTTGATTACCTTGCCATAATGGAATCATAAAGGGAACACGTTTGCAACTTCATATTTTGTCTTAGA